GAAACTTAGTAAATATCTGTTGCATGGATGTGTGAACAAAATTGTACCAGTACCAAGGAGTTATTATTCATTCTGATTGACTGATCAGAAACAGGAAGAGGTTTGTTTACAGTACTTTAAATGCCTTGTTCTGATAGGGTTCTCTATTTAAGGATAAAATGATTTTTGTGGTATATAATTTAGATGCAGGTGAGATATTGGTTGCATCATGAAAATGAATAGTTATATGAAGCTGCTGAAATTGGAGAAAGATAAAATGAGATATAAGTTGGGTTCAAATGGATGCACACAATATGGTACATAAAGCAAAATGAGGGTGTGAAAACTTAGGTGTGAAGAGAATTCATTTAGAGTAACATAATGTTTAACTTTGGAGTAAATAGCTTGCTAACTGGGAACATTTTAAAAAGAAATAAAACATTGAGCAGCTGCACCTCTGAAGAAAAAATAAATTAGACAGCTTATCTCAAAGAAGGAATGGCCATAAGAATAAATGAAGTTTTCTTAGGTATTGTAAGGATTACTATATAGAGGAGAGCAAAAAGGAAAAAATATTTAAGTTGTGTAGCAATCAGATAAAATGTGAGAATTATTTGGGATGTGAAACCAAGTATGTACTTCTGTGGAAACAAGGGAGAGATACTTATTAATGTGGCGTATTTCTACATAAAACAGGACAAGGTTCATTTATCAAATACTTAATTGAGCACCTACTATGTGCCAGGCACTTGGGAAACATCAGTGAACAGATTACATTCTTAGACAAGTTTTTTAAAGTCACAGGTGCTGAAGAGCAGATCCTCAAGAGACCAAAAGGCACAGGCAAGTGTAGGTTTGTAGTATACTTTATAAGGAGGTAATGACCTCATGGGGTAATAGTGATTAGTAAGAGAATATTTATAGAGTTTGGAGTCTCTTAAGGAAGTATTAAATACATTTTTATTCTTATGGTGTTATATTCCTTCAGATATTAACTAAGACCACTATGTCTTGAGAAAACTTCATTACCACCTGAGGGAGACAGAATGCCATTTGCAAAATTACTGTTTCTTTTCTGTTCCTTTTTATCGGTAGGTCTGATATAAGCCAGAGTGACCCAGTTCAGGATCACTTACTCTTTAAGAAGACTCTCCTGCCAGTCTGGAAGATGATTGCTAGTCACAGGTAGGTCTCCAGGCCACTCTTGGTATTCATAGCCACTCTTCTCATTCAGAGTGACTTTCTACGGTTTCTTCATCCTTTCTGGATTTGTCCCTTAATAGGTTCAGCAGTCCATTTCTGAAGCCTGTGTCAGAAAGGCAGGCCCCAGGATACAAGGATGTGGTGAAAAGGTCAGTGGAAAAGGGGTCAAGAAAGGTTGGTTGCTTTTATATCTGTCTTTTCATACTTTATTTCCCATCTATTAGATTGTTTATTTCATTTTTATTACTTTCAAACTCAAGATATACCTTACAGCTGAACAAGTTTGTAAAATTATGGTAAATCTAGTCTTTATATGAGAAGGAATAAAAGGAACAAAAGGATAAAATAGCTTTTTTTCATTGTTAATTTTTAAATAATACAAAACATTTATTATGATCTTACATTATCCTTCAGTAGTTTTTGACATTGTTCTTCTGGAGCAAAACTTTAAAAGGAACACTATTCATCCTGAAAGTATAGGTATACTAAGACAAAGACAATAGTCTAAACGATGTTACAAACATTGGTTGATTGCAGTATTTTGGATTTTTTAAAAATCTTCACCCAGGGATATTTTTACTGATTTTTAGAGAGAGGAAAAGAGAGGGAGGGGGAAGAGAGAGACAGAAAGAAAGAAAGAGAGAAACATCAGTGTGAGAAACATCAGTTGATTGCCTCCTGCTCACGTCCTGACCAGGGAACACACCTGCAATGTAGGTATGTGCCCTGACCTCAGGGATTGAACCTGCAACCTTTTGGTGTATGGGACAACACTCCAACCAACTGAGCCACCTGGCCAGGGCACAGTATTTTGATTTTTATAGCATGTTTCATCTAAAATGCTGTCATAAACCATTGTGTTAATAGAGTATAAAAGATCAGGAAAGGACCTTTGGAGACAGACTCCTTTATTCTATAGATAAAGAAACTAAGACTCAGAGGTGGTCTTGACTTGTCTGTGATCAGCAGTAAATAGCAGAGCTGGAACTAAACCCCAGATTCTTACCTCTCACTTAAGTCCTCTTTCTGCACTACTGTGCCTTCTCTTATATACCCACCCTCTGTGTCTCATTAATAATTTATTTGTCTTAACCTTCAGTTGATTCTCACTCTTTTCATCTCCAGGAAAGGAGAAAAAAATTCTTAGCTTTTGATTATGCAATAATAGAAGTAGATTAAATACCTAATATGTGACTACACATTGTAAACAATCAGTCAATAACTACATGTGACAAACTGATCATTGGACGTCTTTACAACTTTGGTACCTGGGGCCAGCACACCTCCTACAATAGCATAGTGTAGTGGCTGAGCCTGTGGGTTCAGAAGTCAGGCTGCCCCTGATTTGGAATCCAAGCTGTGTAACTTTGAGCAAGTACTTAACCTCTTCACATTTCAATTTGCTCATTGCCAATTGGTAATAATAATGGTACCTACTTTATAGGTTTATTAGGAGGTTTAACTGAGTTAATACAGAAAGTACTTAACAGTGCTTGGCCTGTTTTAAGTAGTGACAGTCAAATGTTAACTGCTGTTGCTATTTTATAATCTGATAGAGATTGTTACCTACTACCATTTTCATTAAGAGTTGGTTAGTTCTCCATGAGAGCATGTTATATTACCCCACATTCCACATGAAAGTTAGATTTCCTCTGGTTTCTCTTGGCCACCTGTAGACCCATGGACTTAACTACCCTGAAAAGGAATCTGTCTAAGGGACGGATTCGCACCATGGCACAGTTCCAGCGGGACCTCATGCTGATGTTTCAAAATGCTGTGATGTACAATGACTCTGATCATCATGTGTACCACATGGCTGTGGAGATGCAGCGAGAAGTCCTGGAGCAGATTCAGGTACTGTATGTAGAAAGTTGTGAGAAAGGAATGTAATTTCTTGAATCTGATTTTAGAAAGTCTGTGAGAAGAGGGTGATGTTAAAGTGTTTCCAGAGCTTATTATGTGTAGAGGTGATTCAAAGATTGATATTTTTTACTTGTTGATTTGGAACACCCTGAACCTCAGTAGAACGAGTTTTAATAGTGAAATAAAGTAGTCTAAGAAGGCAGACAACACTGAAGAGCTCTCAAGAGAACTGTAATGATAACGGGAGCTCCTGGTTCCAGAACCTCAAACCAAAGGGCTAAACATGCAAACCAGAGGCTGGAGTTGGAGTCCCTGTACATTTTAATGTTAACATAAATGTATATTCACTACCTCATTTACAGGGGATAGGGTATAGTAGACAGAAGAAGACACGTGAGGGTTTCTTTTCTGGTTAACATGATATTTTAAAGAAAAAAGGATAGTCAAATATCACTGGAAAAAGAAATGAAAATGCATTCAAACCTTGGTAGCTTTTAAGATTCATAGCTTTTTATTTGCCTTGATCCTGTAGGTGCTGAGCATTTGGTTAGACAAAAGAAGAAACTTAAATAGTCTGGAAAGAGAACCAGCCAACCCAGTGCATGACAGAAACCTGTTTTGTTAACCTGGAGCTGCGCCCTGACCTTTTCTGGAATTTGGACCTCTCATTGACATTCTGACCAGAGAAGATCCCAGTACTTGTTTACCACTTCTCTGTTCTGCTTTCTAATAATCATACTTCACTTATTTCACAACCAAGGAGTCAAAGGTGCCTGTGGACATAATATAAAGAAAATGGGGGAAACTTGAGATTTGGGTCAATACTATGAATGTTGCCCATGCCTTTGTTCCATAGGCTTAATTTAGAGGTAACTGGATTAAACCTCTTATTACTGTTCCATAAATAAATGTTACTTCACAAGTTGAAGATTGCTTTTTACTGATCACAGAAGCTGAGAATAGAGGAGACAGCATCATCTGGTGAAATGAGGAAGGTATTTGACATGGAAGGGGGATGGGTTGGGATGAGGGGAAAGTGTTTATGATTTATCTCATCATTTATAAAATGGAGATAATTTTGAAGCGTACTTCAAATGAGTAGGAGGATGAAATAAGATAAATGATGGGGAAAATGTAAGAAGACGTTTAGTGCGGTAAGATTGGTAAGGAGAAAATAATGCCTGTGGCTGGCTCCCTTTCTTGATTGCAAGGAGCCTACCAGGGACTGGGAAGCACACTGCTGGGATTGGCCCTCTGCAGCCACCGTCCCTAAGCTTGGCTTGGGGTCTCCTAGCAACAAGCTGTGGTCGCACCTAAGGAGTAAGTGCTGAGGTGAGTGCCCAGACCAGCGTCAGACTCAGAATATAAGGATGCAGCTAGGAGGGATCCAGGGGACCTAGGGATCCTGCTTTCCAAGCAGACCTGAAATGTCACACAATCGTCCTGGCGGGCCGGGGTCGCCCCACTTGCTGTGGAGCACCGCGGAGAGTGCCCACCCAGTCTCCTGCGGCTGCCCCGAGCGTCTGCGCCAGTCCCAGGCCTTCAGACTGCCCCCTAGCGTCTCCACCTCTTTGAAAGGGTTTAGGAAATCCCAAGGCACAACCGCTGAGGAGGAAACAGTATGACAGGCATACCTCGTTTTATTGCACTTAGCTTTCCGCGCCTCACAGGTTTGCATATTTTACCATCTGAAGGCAAGGCAGTCCACCAGCAAAAAAATTACCACTCCCTTTATTGCGACACTCGAGACAGAACCGGCACTATCCCCCAAGTATGCATGTATCGAAACACTGCTTATAGAAAAAGATAGCAGTTTCTAACTTTATAAGTTAATAAAGTCAAGCGCCTAATAGATGATGTTCTTAATCACAATTACATTTAATTGGGGTGGGGGATGCATGTCATTGCAGTTGATACCTGTCAAGAATCTCTTCAATTGTACCTTGAAAAGGCAGAATGGAAATATCGATGCCCCCACCTCAGATATACGTAGAAAAAACTCTGGCCATTATCAAACCAGATATTATTGACAAAGAGGAGGAGATACAAGATATTATTCTCAGATCTGGATTCACCATTGTTCAGGTAACTTCTGGGCACGATGATATATGTCCTTTTCTCTCATTGATCCTTATTTTTTTGTTTATGTAAACGTGTTAACCTATTTAAATCCATAGTATTTAGCATTAAATTTAGGTCTATTCGTCTAACTATAAAAGTTATATGTTAAAAAAAAAAAAAAAAAAAAAGCCCCAGCTAGTGTGACACAGTGGATTGAGTGCCGGCCTGCCAACCAAAGGGTCCCTGGTTTAATTCCCTGTGTAGGGCACATGCCTGGGTTGTGCCACGCGTTGATGTTTTTCTCCCTCTCTTTTTCCCTCTCTTCCCCTCTCTAAAAATAAGTTAATTAATTAAGAAAAGAGAAAAAGTTATATGCGATAGTTTCACAGTTTTTTGTTTTTTTTTTACATTTCAAAAGTATATAAAATGAGAAGTAAAATTCTTTCACCTTCTCTCCCATCCCAAGTCCTAGTCACCAGAGAGAGGCAACCACTTAACACTCCCTGTTCTTCCAGGATTTTTCTATGCATTCACAAACATCCCCCCCCCCCCAAATAAGACAGTCCCTCTCCCTTGATCACCTTTACAAAGTCCCTCAGGTAGCGTTTCAGATCATTACCTCTGAATCTAGCTTTCTTCATAACTTTTGTGTAATATCCCCTGTGTCAATGAACCACAACTTATTTACTTGGTCTTTATTGATGGCTGTTGACACTGTTGGTATTTTTTTTTCAATTATTACAAACATTTAATATTTTAAGGCTTATACTTGCTCTGCAGTTGGTAGAGGTTGGAAATAAATGTAAAAAGAGCATTGTTAAAGATTATCAAATAGAATTGAATATATTTAATCTTCCTTTTTTTTTGGTAACATTCTTATTTGAAATTCCAGTTTTTTTCCTCTTATGCAGTGCCTTATTGCCTATTTAGTCAGTGTTTTAAAAAAATAAAAAGAGAGCCCTCGCTGGTGTGGTTCAGTGGATTTGAGAGCCAGTCTGCAAACTGAAAGGTGGCTGGTTCAATTTCTTATGAAGGCACATGCCTGAGTTGCCAACCAGGTCCAGTTGGGGGCATGTGAAAGGCAATAGATCGATGTTTCTCTCCCGCTCTTTCTCTTTCTCCCTCCCTTCCCTTCTCTCTAAATAAATAAATAAAATCTTTAAAAAAATAAAAAGAGAACATTTCAATCTTCAGGGAAGAAATGAGATTTCAGTTCAATTTAGGAGAGGTGGAGGCTGAGGGTAGGGATGGTACAAGAAAGTGTAAGGAAATAATACAGGAAAGTGTAAGGAAATATTTTATATAGTAATTAAAAGAGCCAGGTAAAGATGAACCTTTTAATAAATGTTGTTAGGAAAACCAAATAGCTGTTTTTTTAAAAGGTGGATTCAAGTATTATACTGTATAAACCAGGACAAACAGCAAATGGCTCTGAACTTTAAATATTAAAAAATAAACCATATATATTCTAGAAGAAAAAAAATGAATGAATTTCTTTATTCTTGGAGTGGGACAGCATTTTTTTGTTTGTTTTTTTTTTTACTATGACAATGTCTAGGAACTATGAAAGAAAAGATAGATAGGACTGTAAATATAAAAACTTCTGCATGGCCAGATAAACACCATACACAAATTCAAAACATAAATGATAAACTTGAAAAAAAAGGTTTGCAACTTATGTTACAAAGGACTAATCTCCCTAATGTATAAAGAGCTCCTAGAAAAAGATGAAAATTTAGTTGAAAATAGGCACAACATGCAGATAATCACGGGAGAAGAAAACAGATGCTTCTTGAATTTACAAAAAGAAATACTCTAAGTAGGAAAAAAAGCAAATTAAAATAACACTGAGAAAGCATCTGGCAAAAATATAAAAGTAAATGGCATGACCCCTGTGGTAGGGGATCTGACAATTATCAATATTACAGATGCATTTATTTACCCTTTTACCCAGCAGTCCTACTTTATATTAATATGTGTGATACATGCATTAACAGGAAGCGACATGTATAGTTATTTTTTGCATTATTGTTTACTTACCAGCAAAAGATTGAAAACAACCAAGCTTTAGGAGATTGGTTTAATAAATCCTGGCAAGTCCACCAAATTGAATACTATGCAACTAACTGCAAAAAGAAGAATAAGGAACTTCTATGTCCTGTTATGGGGAAAAAAAGCAGGTAGAACAATATGTAAGCAACCTTTTGCGATAGAGAAGACATAATATATATTTGTTTGCCAATATTTGCAAAATGAAACTCTAGGAGACAAACATTAAAAAAATGGTTGCCTGTTATTCTGGCTAGGTAGCTCAGTTGGTTAGGGCATCACCATGATACACCAAGGTTTGCAGGTTTGATCTCTTCTCAGGGCACATACAAGAAGCAACCAATGAATGCATAAATAAGTAGAACAACAAATCGATGTCTCTCAAGTCAATAAATTAAAAAAAAATTTTTAATGGTTACTTATTGAGGGCAAGTACAGGGTGCATTAGGACAGGACTGGCTGAGAATGAGATTTTTTAGCATATACCTTTTAATATCGCTTTGAATGTTTAACCCTGTAAGTATATTACCCTTTAATTTTATTTTTTAATAGTTTATTTTTTATTGTATTTGTTCCATTACCATTTATCCCCCTTATACCCTCTTCCACCTCCACCCACCTCCACTCATTAATTTTAGAAAAACAATTAAATGAAGTATATAAATAAGATAAAAATATCCTATTTAAGTTTTACAACTGTGAACCTACTTTTGCCCCACCTGTAGGCTTTCAAAGTAGGCTTTATTGCAGTTGGGAGTTCATTGAACTTGAGGCTTTTTTGTCCTATCTAGGGAAAACCTTCTGAAAAATGATGCATCCTTTCAGTAGGTGGCAGTCTTTCCTTTTTTAAAAGCTAATGGTTCCTTTCTGACATTTAATACAATTGCTTCTCTTTGTGAAAATATTAATCCAAATTCAAAAAAAATCTTGTCTCGTCTAATTTTAAAGTAACCAAATAGAATAGTTGATTCAGTATCAACCTTAGTTTAAGATGAACCTTTAATTTTTATAATTTTACCTCATTGGCTAGCACACCTGAGAAGGAAACGTCCCCTGTTTAAGGCACCATGTGACAGATGAGGGCTTACATTGTAACAGAAGAGATTTTTAGTTTTTAAGCCAGCAACAACAAAAAAACCCACACCAATATACATAAGAATCACAAATACTCTCATGTTTTACTTTTAAGTAGTAGAATCAAGGATTATGCTAAATCAAGTGCTATTGTAAGTTCTCAAATTTCTGCTATTTCTTGACTATATGAATTTCAATATGAAAACAGATGTTGGGACTTTTTTTATAGTAACTGATCCTTGACTGATGAGAATGTTATGCTTGTCTAGTAGAACCTTTTCATGCAGTGCTGACCCATGTAAATAAGCTTATTCTCAAGCTTCTTGCTCTGGGCAGTTTAGATATCTTGCTACAAACCAAGCAATTTTACCAAGTTTCTGAAACCTGAGGACACATGATCATTTTGGAAGGGGCTTTAAGAGGTAGTTCCTTTGGTAGAATTCACACTATACTCTCAGGAAAATATAACCCATTTTATAAAGATAGATTTCTGTCTCTCTTTTTTTTTTTTTTTGTTCCCAGAGAGAGAAACATGGATTTGTCTCACTTGTTTATGCATTCATTTGGTAGTGTTTTGTATGTGCCCTGATGAGAGTCTTAACCTGCAACCTTAATGTACCTGGATAACAGCCTAGCCAGCCAGGGTGATTTTTGTCTTAATTGTGAAGATGTTTAGCCTTCACCTTGAGACTTATCTCCATGTGTCATCATCCTTACTCTAGCTAGTAGTCTTCTTTGAATCTCTTGTGATGTTTTGAGCCTTTTTCCTCATGATCTACTTTTAGTAGAACTGAGAAACAGTAGTAATGTATAATTTTTTAAAAACTCTTGAATAACTGCTTTTAGGAGAAGCATGATGCTTTCCAATTGGAATAATGACTGACTCAGCTTCTATGATTTTTTTAATTCAATGATTCATTTGTATAATCTTTCATTTGTAAAGAAAATAATATTTATTTATCCTAAACATTTTATATTCTTTCAAACTGGTAGACAATGCTAACTAATTTTTTAAGATCACAGTGAATCAACATACTTATGGCAGAAACAGAATAAATAACACAGCTTTCGTGTTCAAGTGAAAAACTTGTTTACTGCATCATTATACTGCATGTTATTTCTAAGTACCACAGTGGATCAGCTCCCTAAAATAATGTAGAAAAATTTCACAATAAATAGAAAAATACCACAATAGATAGAAAAAATGAATCGCAATATTCTAATATTCATCCAATTTTGTTACTTTAATGTATACAAAGTATACATCAAAAAATACTGATGATTGGAGTGTTCTTACTTTAGAAGGAGATATGAAACTGTCATTAACAGACCCTATGTTGGAGGCTGCTAAACAGGAAAAGTTTTTCTTAAGTAGGTTAAATAATTCTTACAATTTTATTTACAGTCTACATTTAATTTTCTTACCTCACCCTTTCTTCATAATACAAGAATAAATCTCACATGTATAACCAGATTGCTATTAATTTCAAGTTATTAATGACTTAATGAGGCATTATTGAACTGTCATTTTAAATGCTTTTGTTGACTTTGTTTCTCTTACAGAGAAGAAAACTACATTTCAGCCCTGAGCAATGCAGTAATTTTTATGTGGAACAGTATGGGAAAATGTTTTTCCCCAATTTGACAGCTTACATGAGTTCTGGACCACTTGTTGCCATGATATTAGCTAGACATAAAGCCATCTCTTACTGGAAAGAACTTTTGGGACCAAGTAATAGCTTAATAGCTAAGGAGACACACCCAGACAGGTAATTTTTCTAGGGGAATAATGCAATACAACTGTGAAAATGAAAACAAACAAACAAACCCTGATTTCATTGTAATAGGGCTTTCCTTTCATTTGATAGTTTTCTTAAATTTAACTTTCCTCCTCCCTCCCTCCCTCCCTCCTTTCCTTCTTTCCCGCCTTTCTTCTTTTCTCTTTTTCTCTCTTTTGTTTTCTTTTTTTGGTGACAGAGAAATCCATTTTATGTTTAACTATTTAAATATCTGCCTTAATACCAAATACCACAAAAGGCCTCAGAGAATCTCTGCTTTATGGTTGATTAACTTTATTCTCTCATCCTGGAATTAAACTGCCACTGAAGTAGGATTTTTCACAGGAAAATTGATGTGGTATTTTAAAAGAATATTGATAATACAGGACCAGAAATCCAGATTTTTGGCATTATCACTGATGTCTGGAAACCAGAGAACATTGAGTTCTTATACGTTTAAATATATTGCTTTTTCACTTCTTGCAAAACAAGACCTCTTTTTCATCCAGAGAACTCTTATTTTCCCAGTGTATCCCTACTGCAGATTTAAATATATTTGACCCTCATCTAGATATATTTAAGCTTAAATTCAAGCTTAAAACCTCCATATGTGAGCAGTGGCGATTGTAAAATACCTAAGGAGAATGCATATATAAAAAGCAAGAAAAAAGATGTCAGATTGGATGGTCATCATCTCTAACTTGCTTTTTTTTAGTCTAAGGGCAATTTATGGCACAGATGACCTAAGGAATGCACTTCATGGGAGTTCTGATTTTGCTGCAGCAGAAAGAGAAATTCGATTCATGTTTCCTGAAGGTAAGTTACAGATGAGTAATTAGATGATCTCCTTATTGTTTGCTTTTTCATTTAATTTGGGGTGTAACTGGGAAGGGAAATAACAGTTTTTCGCCAATATATTTCGTCATATTTTCCAGTTGTAGTTACTTAAAACTTAAAGTTAATAAAGGAAAACTCAGTATTTTCCTCAGAACTAAATTGTGCTTTCTAGGAAATCTTTTGAGAAGAGTTTACTTGTTTCTTTTTTTCTTGGACTGGACATATTTTCTTTTCTCCTTCTGTGTTGTAATTCCTTTTAGTTATACCAAATACATCAGTGAAGTTTGTTACACATGAAAAAAAGAATCTCCCTTGGAAATTATGATTCATTTACCATTTTCTCTAATAGTTTACTGTTTGTCTAACAAACAGGAAATTGTGAAATTAATAATTCTCAGGCTTTTTTTGTTTCCATTCTTTTTATGGAGGTTATAAATCTTTTAAAAGTTGGCACAGTAAGGACAGCACTGAGGTTTTTAGTTTGTTTTTAATAATGTTAGAGCAGAAAGAAAATTTTGTGGTTTTTATTATACAGAAAAATGCAAAGCATTGGGTAGTTTTGAATTTATTTTTGGCATGTTATTTTTTTCTAACTTATTTAGACTTGTTCCTCAGTATTTTATACTGAAGATTTATAACAAGAAAACTAAGAACTATCTTATCTATTTAAAAATTGTGATTTTTTTAATTTTAAAGATTTTATTTATTTATTTTTAGAGAGAGGGGAAGGGAGGGAGGGAGAACATTGATATGAGAGAGACATTTTTCCTCTCACATGACCCCAAACCCTCAATCCCCCAACCAGAGACCTGGCCTGAAACTGAGGCACGTGCCCCAGCTGGGAATCAAAGGGGTGACCTTCAAGTTCATAGGCCAGCATTCAATCTATTGAGCCACAGCAACCAGAGCAAAAGTTGTGATTTTTAAACAAAACCTATTTTATAGATATTTGTACACAAAAGGATTTGCCTACTTACATATTTTATTTATACTGATCTCATTTCTGTCACATATCCATTCCATTAAGGTATCATTTTCTTCAGAACCTTTTATTGTGCAAAATTTCAAACACACACAAAAGTAGAATAATATAATAAACCCTTAATAAGCCCAACACTCAATTTCAACTATTGTGGTTAGTCTTATTTCATCTATAACCCCTGCTTGTACTTCTCCTGCTTCACGTTATGTTGAAGCATATCTCAAACATGAGATTTTTTTTTTAATGTGATAGTACTTTAGGATTAGTCCTACTAGTGAATTAGACTTTACATTGTTAGCTTTTAACTAAAATAGGATCAAAACTCACTGTATCTTTAGTAGAAGATATATTTTGAAGGTCTTCTTACTCATAGAGTTTTATTCCTAAGCTGTTATTTTAGATTGCCCTTTATATTATTCATTAATTAATCCTCTAGACATGAATTTAAGAGATATAGTTAGACATTTGGGAACCAGCAGACCTTTTGCTATGGGAATATGAAGTTCTTTGGATTAAGATCTCAGTTTGTGATATGAGCTCCATGTTGCTGAGCAGTCAGACAAAAACGATGTGCAAAAACTCTAGATGATGAGTGTCAAAAGGAAATTATAAAGATATTCAAAACATGTTCCTAACCCTTGAAAAAGGCAGTACTCTTCCATTCCCCTTCTAATGGAATGGCTGGTAAAGCCATGCTATAGTCCATTCATTCAACAAATTCATTGAACCCTGACCAGTGTGGCTCAGTTCTTGGGGCATCATCCTGCAAAGCAAAAGTTCACAGGTTTGATTCCCTGTCAGGGCACATTTCTAGGTTGCAGGTTTGGTCCCTGGTTGGGGTGCATATAAGAAGGCAACCCATCAATGTTTCTTTCTCTCTCTCTCTCCCCCTTCCCTTCTCTCTAAAATCAACAAGCATGTCCTCAGGTAAGGATAAAAAATAATAATTTTTTAAAAATTAAAAAAACAATTTTACACATGATTACTGTTAGCATTTTGATATGTTTCTTGCCAGTCTTGTATAGTTTTATTTTTTTTCAATACTTTATTTATTTTCAGAGAGAAGGGAAGGGAGGGAGAAAGAGAAGGAGAGAAACATTGTGTGAGAGAAACATCAGTTGGTTGCCTCTCATACAGCCACAGCTGGGGACCTGGCCAGCAACCCAGGCATATGCCCTGATAGGGAATTGAACTGGAGACCCTGCGGTTCACAGGCTGGCAGTCTACTGAGCCACGCCAGCCAGGGGGTAGTTTTATCTATTTATTTTTTTATGTGTATGCTTTTGTGGTTTTTGAACCATTATACTATGTATCTAGTTCTGGTCCATTAAAAAAAACTTTGTAATTATTTCTCATGTCCTTAAAATTTCTTTGAAGGTATCTTTTTTAATGACTGTATAATATCTCATCATTTGTGTTAGCTTTAATGGAAATATGTTTGTATTTTACAGTGATTGTTGAGCCCATTCTAGTTGGACAAGCTGCTAAGGACTATTTAAATTTATATGTAACACCAACTCTGCTTAAAGGACTCACAGAGCTTTGTAAGCAAAAACCAGCAGATCCTTGTGTAAGAAATCTTTTTATTCACACTAAAGAATATTGACTATAGTTTTTATACCCAAAACATTGCATTCTTTGAAACAGTGTAAGTATTCAGAGTCATTTTAAAAAATTTTACATAGTTTAGATACTTTATGTATAAGTTTTGATCACTTATTTTCTTGCTGTATTTTAACTCTATAAACACATCATTCCTAAATATTCATATACTTTCAATTGTTAGCATTGTTTTGTATATAATTTATATAATCAAATGATAAAATTATATATATACGTATATTTTGTTCAAGTTTTTGTTTCTCATGATACCTAAATTTTTAAAATAGAAAACTTATGTTTATTTGCACCTCTAGATGCCTCAACATTGCTTAGTCATGGGGGGAATGATTGGGTAGGAGGAACTAAGATGATTGTCCAGAGCCAAGTGTTATCCTGGGCTCTTCTTTGCAGGTACTGTTACCCATGTGAAGACTCTCAGAGATAATCAAGGAAGGTTCTTTTAGTAACAGTCCTATCAAAATAGAGTATAATTAAAAAGTCGCGAAAGGATATACGGGGTCCAACAAAAGTAACGCCTGCTTGAATGTGGTTGGTAGGGTAATAATATGGATGTGATAATTTATAGCTTTAATTTGAATATGTCACCAAAAATGTCATATGGTGTGCTTGCGTGTGATATTGTTATATTACAGAATTACATGCTTATGATTTTGTAATAAAAAAGGGGCATTATTTGTGCCAGACCGTGTATAATGAAAAGTCCTTGCCATTCACCCAACTGTACTCGTTGAAGTAAGTTACTGTGACCAGCCTCTAGTATAACCTTTATGAGAAGACCTGTTCATATACAGGGTGGGCAAAAGTAGATTTACAGTTGTTCACATGTAAAAATATATCATATTGAATGGAAGAATAAAATCCAAGTTTTGTTTACTTACAACTGTAAGCCTGCTTTTGCCCATCCCTGTATAAGTACATTATCTGCATGTACTTAAAAATACATACACATTCAAATGCTAACTCCTAAACACACTACTGTATTTGATACTTTTTACCTTATTTACTTAATATGTAATAGTTATTTTATTGCATCACAAAAAAAATTGGCCCTACTGATATTCCTGTGGCATGTCTAGAATTAGATAATAAGAACATTATAATCAGGAAACATGATGACATCACAGTGGCAGGGCATAGAACAGTCTCTTGACGTCTTATACCAGTTCTCTAGCAGCTTGTCATAGGGACCCAGGCCTATTCATGTTGATTATCTCACACAGTATTAAAGTTTCCATAGTTAGGTATTCATTGAATGTGCTTTGGGCACTTTTGTATTAATTTTAGAGTAAGCTCCTTTTTGACACTTAGGGGCTGACTTATCAAAATACTAGTAAGAAAGGATCTTGTTTTGTAGCTGTAGGTCCAGATGACTTTGTATATAGAATTTTATTACGTTAATAAATCTGATTGGAGGAAAAGAAACAAAACACGAGCGGGAGTGGGACTGATTTGGTAGCAGGCAAATGGCAAAGAAAGATGACATTTCATTTGTATTAACTTCCATGTGTATATTTACTGGTTGGGTTAAGCTATTTTTCCTATGTTTAGTTGTATTTTGTCCTTTTTGAATTATCTGTTTATCTTTTGATCACTTATCTTGGGAGTTTTGTAACAATACTTTATATGTTAGTTACATCAACCTTTGATCATATTTGCTGCAAAATTTTTTTTTCTGTTTTACTTTTAATTTTGCCTTTTAAATAATATTCTATAAGTCAGACCTTGATTTTTTTCCTTATTGTGGGTTTTCACTTACAATCTATATTTAGAAAGTCCTATCCCATTGAAAGTTTTGCTATATATAACTTTTTTTCCTAGGATTTTTAAATATTTAACTTCCCTATGCATCTGGAATTTATTTTTGTACATAATACAAGATGAAGATCTGAACTGATTTTTTTCTGACAAGTTGTCCTTGTACATTGATTTACGAAGCCTTACTTATCAATATTAAATTCTATGTATGAGCATGTATTCTGTTACATGGATCTGTATGTTTAACAACAGTACCACAATAAATTATTGAATGTTAACTATATAAAATAACATTATTTTAATACTTCCGTATAGACTCAATCTTTTTTCTGTTTTTTTTTTTGTGGGAGATATATATGACATAAAATTTGCCATTTTAACCATTTTTAAGTGTATATTATAGTTCAGTGGCATTAATTATAATCACAATGTTGTGCAACCATCATCACTATCTATTTTCAAAACTTTGTCATCACCTCAAACAGAATCGCTGTAACCAGTAAGCAGTAACTCTCCATTACCTCCTTCCTCTAGGCCCTAGTAATATAATCTCTCTATATTCTATGTAAGTGGAATTATAGAATATTTGTTCTTTTATATTTGGCTTATTTCACTTAGCCTAATGTTTTCAAAGTTCACTCATGTTGTAGCAGCTTTAGAATTTCATTCCTTTTATGTCTCCCATGTATGTATATATCATATTTTGTTTATTCACTAATCTGGTGATGGGTACTTGCGTTGCTTCTACCTTTTGACTATTGTGCTTAATGGTGCGTCAACATTAGTATATAAGTATCTGTTCAAGTATTTGTTTTCACTTCTTTGGGCTACACCTAACAGTGGATTGCTGGGTCATATTCTGTGTTTAGCTTTCTGAGGAATCACCAAACTGTTTTCCACAGTGACTGCTTTTTACATTCCCACTTACAATGTACAAGAGTTCCAATTTCTCCACATCCTATTTTTTTTTTAATCCTCACCTGAGGATATGTGTATTTATTTTATTTTATTTTTATTTAAGATTTTATTTCTTTATGTTTAGAGAGAGGGGAAGAGAGGGAGAAGGAGAGGGAGAGAAACATGCAATGTGTGAGAGATCTATCAATCGGTTGGCTCTTGCACACCCCCAACTGGGGAACCAGCCTACAACGCAGGCATATGTCCTGACTGAGAATCAAACCTGTGACCTCTCAGTTTGAATGCTAACACTCAATCCACTGAGCCACACCAGCCAGGAGGGAGGAGGGAGGGAAAAGGGAGAGACATTCATTGGTTGTCTTCCATAGTTGGATGATCCCATGCTCCAATCAACTGAGTCATCCAGCCAGGACGTCAGTGTGGTTTTGATTTTCATTTCTCTAATGACTAATGATGTAGAGCATCTTTTCATGTGCTTATTGGCCATTTGTATATTTTCTCTGGAGAAATGTCTGTTCAAGTTAAAGACTTTGTCCATTAAAATTTTTTTTAGTTATAGGAGTTCTTTGTATGTTATAGATATTAGGCCCTTATCAGATATATGATTTGCAAATATTTTCTCCCGCTCTGTAAGTTGGTTGTCTTTTCACATTCTTGATGTTTTTTCTGCACAAAAGTGTTAAAATTCTGATGAAAACCAATTTATCTATTTTTGTTTTGTTTTGTTGCTCATGCTTTTGATGTCCTATCTAAGAATCCATTGCCAAATCCAAGGTCATGAAGGTTTATTTCTGTGTTTTCTTTTAAGATTTTAATGGTTTTAGCTCTTATATTTCTATTGTTGATCCATTTTGATAATTTTTGTATACATGTCAAGATATTTTTCTGGACTCTCATTTCTCTTCCGTTGGTCTGTATGTCTATCTATATGTCAGGACCACACTGTTTGGATTGCTATAGCTTTGTAGAAGATTTTGAAATTGGGAAGAACAAAGTCAGAAGATGCTCCAACTTTATTCTTTTTCATGATTGTTCTGGCTATTCAGAACCCCTTCAAAATTATATATTAACTTAAGGATTGATTTTTTCATTTCTTCAAAAATGACTGTTGGCAAATTTGATAGGAATTGTGTTGAATCTGCATATCACTTTGGGCAGTATTGATATCAAAGCATCCTAACAGTGTTGTCTTTCTATCCATTAACTCAGGATTGTCTTTATTTATTTAGGTCTTTAAATATCTTTCAGCAATGTTTTATAGTTTTCAGTTATACAAGTTGGTTAAAGCTATTTATAGATAATTGTTTTTCAGTGCCATTATAAATAAAAGTGATTTTTTAAAAAATATTTTTAATTTTTAAAATTGATTTATTGATTTATAGAAAGAGGAACATCGTTTTGTTGTTCCACTCATTTATGCATTCATGGGTTGACTCTTGTATGTGCCCTGACCAGGGATCAAACCTGGAACCTTGGCATATTGGGACAACACTCCAACCAACTAAGCTACCCAGCCAGGGTGAAAGTGATTTCTTAGTTTCCAGTTTGGATTGTTCACTGCCAGTGTATAGAAGCTACTGATTTTTTTGTGTTCATCTTGTAACCTACAACTTTGCCAAATTCATTTATAGCTCTAGTAGTTTTCTTGTGGATTCTTTGGGATTTTCTATATATAGGATCATGTCATCTGTGAATGGAGATCATTTTACTTATCCCTTTGGAGTTTGGACCTACACTTTGACAATCTTGTATCTGTAAAACTTAGTGTTTCAGTTTTTAATGGTCATTTTTTTTTATTATTCTTCAAGTGATTTCGAAAACTAAGTTTTAAATTGAGATACTATATATTGAAGAAAATATTTGAATTTTTATTAAGTTAAGGTTTTTTTTTCTTTTTTCCATAGATTTGGCTAGCCAGTTGGCTGCTGAAAAATAATCCCAACAAACCTAAACTTTGTCACCATCCATTTACAGAAGAACCTTCTTAAAGTCCTCCAAAGAACAAGTCATGAACAATCTTACTATAAAACACATGCTTCTACCTAAAAAAAAAAATTTAAATAAAATAAAAAAAGCATTATTTCTAAAGATTTAAGTAACTGCATGTGAAATAAATTACATCTTTAAAATAATTTTTAAAAGAATAATTGTGTTTTTTTGCAGCAGATAATACCATCTAAGGTAAAATACAGGTTTAGGTTATGATTTTTTTTAAATCCTCACCTGAGGATATGTTCATTGATTTTAGAGAAAGAGGAAGGGAGGGAGAGAGGGAAACATTGACTGGTTGTCTCACATAGGTGCCCCGACCAGAGATCGAACCTACAACCTAGGCATGTGCCCTGACCAGGAATCAAACCCATGACATTTTGGTGTACAGGACAATGCTCCAACCAATTGAGTCACCCAGCCAGGGCTGATTTTTCTTTTTTCTAATAAAATTGTATTTATTCAGAGGCATTTAGAATGTCAGCAAAACAACTGCAATTTTTTGGGGGGTTGATTACAAAGTGGTATTCAGTTAACAAAACAGCTATTAATTCATAGAAGATGCATCAGAGACAAAGTGAAGGTGAAAAACTATCATCCTTGTATATAGGGAACTAATATAGGTAACTAATTTGTCCTATGTCCAACAGGAAACTGCTTTAAACTTCTATGCCAACTTAAAACCCCTGTACTGTACCAGGTAAGGTTAGTGGCTATTTAAAATACCGCCAGGACAGAGCTAGCTAACATTTAACACATTTGGTAGTGTGTTAACTGTACAAAAAAAGAAAAATAAAGATACCATACAGTTTAAAAACAAGTCTTGCTTAGCCTTACATTTCATCTTTTTTTCTTTAGAAGGGATGAGATGTGTACAGAGAGGTTAAATGCTTTGTAGAGCAAAAAAACTAGAACCAATTTATCATCTTCCACCTCCTTATCCTCTTTATCTTCCTTCTTTTCCTCTTTTTTCTTTTTCTTTTTAGCCTTGATGACTCCCTTTTTTGCTGCATAGCCTTATGCAAGAATATATTTGTCGTATTTTTCCTTCGGCTTAGCAGCCTGATGAACGTGGCTGTCATCTGCAGCAGTGTTCCACATTTCTGTTTCTTTGCAGCATCACCAATAGATAAACCGGGATGTTCTTTGATATATCTTCCTTTCTCTAGCAGACATAGTCTTTCACCTCTCAGCACTTTGTGGAAAACTCTGAGAAGGTGACTGAAGTCTCTCGGTACTTTTTCTTGTGCTACTCCCAGCGAGTTTTCACAAAGAATGCATATGATGATATTCTGCTTTTCAGCTTCCTCGGGTATCCTTTGCCCATGTTTAGTTTTTCTTCCCTCAGTAGGGCACAAAGTCACCCAAGTGTCCATCAGGCTCTCACTTGCCTTGGTGTTTTCTCTGTGTAGTTCATGTTCTATAGTGGTTGTCAGCTTAGGGAATTATTTTTAACAATGATGTAACTTTAAGTAATAGAAGGCTTATGCATGATGTTCCTATATTGCTACTTTTTTTAATTTTGAGGAATAAGAAATGAAATTTTAGTGATATTTTCCCAAGAATGCATTTTATATCTACATGCACAATTAATGCACAGTTCAGATTATAGAGTTTAAAAAGTGTAAGTATATAGGCAATTATTTGATATAGTGAACATTGGCAGAATCAGTCTATGATTTTAATCATTTATATAACTATTTCCTCAGCATTAATGAGAGCCCTCCAATGGCAACCAGCCACTGATCCTGGTTTGCCTGGGACTTTCCAGGTTGTATCACTGAAAGTTGTACATCCTGGGAGCCACCTCAGTCCTGGGCAATTTGATTACTATGTCAAATAGTCCTTAGATTAGTGTTTCCCAATTATATTTTTATGCTGAGGTCCTAGTTTTTAAAAAGTTATGAAGTTATTTATTTAAGAAATTATAATTTACCTTTAAAGAAATACAGGTTGTAACTAGCCTCATCTTTTCAAAAAGTCAATGTCATTATAAAACAAATAGAAATGGGAAGGAACTGTTGTAGATAAAGAGATTAAAGAGGATTCTGATCAAGATGGCTGCGTAGCAATACTTACCTCCTCCTAAAACCACATCAAAATTACACCTGAACAACCGTCATTCAGAACTGCCTGAAATCTGGCTTAATGGACGTCCTACAACTGGGGAATTAAAGAAGCCACATCAAGACTGGTATTGAGAAGACTGATAAGCCAGGACAAGTGGAATGGGGAAATTGAGGCAGAGAGTTAAACAGCAAGTAGTTTACAGCCATCTACTAAATCACAAAATCCTATCTCTCCTAGCCAAGGACATTTAAGAGTAAATGGTTTATACTTCTCTTCCCCAACCAGAGGGTAAATAGCTTAAATCATCCTATTCAGGGAGATAGATAACAGGAATCCAATTAGTGCCATTTGTGCCAACCGCACCCCAGGATGGATGAAGTCAAGGAATAAATCTCATTTTGGTGCATCAGCACAAAGCTGATGAATATTCTATTAAGATCCTCCTGTAAAACCTCCCCTGAAAACTCTTAAGATGAAGGACCTAGTTCATACTCTCTCAGTTGATCTTGACTTGTACCTCCTAGGACACCCCAGAACCAGCACCCAGTGGATAGTGTTAGACCACATCAGAGTACCACCATTCAATCACCTCCACAACACACTCATGGGGTGGACTCAGTTGGCACCTGTTGAAATAAGTCCTGCACTGTGAGGGGGTCCCTGCACAGTTGATCTTCCATAGTGGTTGGAGGTCAAAGGTCAGTGACCACAGCCAGTCCCTATAGCTGATCTGCCTGGGCTTCAGTCCCTCCCACTGACGTGCCAAGAGCCTCAGGGCTCAACTACAAGCGGACGGTGTACACAGCCAACATGAGGGGCACACTTCAAGTGCCCAGCTTGGGTAATGGGGGAGGTTGTGCCACTGGACCCTATAAAGCACCTACTACATTATGCCTTACTAAGCCCAGGAGATGTAGTAGCTCTACCTAATACACAGAAACAAACACAGGGAGGCTGTCAAGTGAGGAAACAAGGGAACATGTCCAAAATGAGAGAATGGAATAAAACTCCAGAAAAAGAATTAAACAAAATGAAGATAAGCAATCAAATAGATGTAGAGTTCAAAACACTGGTTTTAAGGATGCTTAAAGAACTTAGAACTTACGCATAAAAAATGATAAATCACAAATGAATAACTTATAGGAAATCAGTAGAGTAGATAAAGCTGAGAATCAAATCAGCAATTCAGAATATAAGGAAGCAAAATCACTGTATCAGAATAGCAAAAAAAAAAAAAAAAAAAAATCCCCCCAAAATGAGGATAGTGTAAGGAGCCTCTAGGATAACTTCAAGAGTACCAATATTTGCATCATTGGATGCCAGAAGGAGATGATAGAGAGCAAGAAATTGAAAATATAACAACAGAAAACTTACCTAACTTGATGATGAAAATAAAAATACAAGTCCAGGATGTGCAGAGTTCCGAACAGGATGAATCCAAAGAGACCCACAGGAAGATACATCATAATTAAAATGCAAAAGGGTTAAAGGCAAAGAGAGAATCTTAAAAGTAGCAAGAGAAGCAGTTAGTTACCTACAAAGGATCTCCCATACGACTGTCAGTTGATTTCCCAACAAAAATTTCGCAGGCCAGAAGAGATTGGCAAGAAATATTCAAAGTGATGAAAAGCAAGGACACACAACCAAGATTACCCAGCAAAGCTATCGTTTAAAACCAATGGATAAGAGCTTCCCAGACAAGCAAAAGCTAAAGGAGTTCAACACCACCAAATCATTTTATATGAGCTGTTAAAAGGTCTTTAGGAAGGAGAAAAAAAATAAAAATAAAAAATATATATATGTATCAACAAAAAATCTAAAGAAGTAAACAAACAAACAGAACAGAAACAAAATCATAGGTACAGAAAACATTTTGATGGTTGCCAGATGAGAGGAGAGTTGGGGGAATAGGAGAAAAAGGTGAAGGGAATAAGAAGTACTAATTGGTTGTAACAGAATAGTCATCATGGGGATGTAAAGTACAGCATAGGAAATATAGTCAATAATATTCTAATTATGTATGGTGTCAGAAGGGTGTGAGATTTATCGGGATGATCACTTAGTAAGTTATGTAATGTCTAATCACTGGGGTGTACACCTGAAACTAATATGATAATGTATATCAACTATAAATGAAAAATGTTAAATGATTTTTTAAAAAGATACTAAAGAGAATCTTAACCACATGCAATGATTAGATCTTAATTGGATCTTGGTTTTTAAAAATGTATAAAAGACATTTGAAGCACAATTAAGGGAATTTAGATATGGACTAAATATTAGATGATACTATGGAATAATTGCTAAATTTTGTAGGGTCAAAATTATGTGGCTATAAAAAAAGAATGTCATATTAATGTGATGCAGCCTGAAATATTTAGAGGTAAAATTGTAACATTTGAATATTTCAGCAAGAAAGAAATATTTTTTAAAATTTTTATTTTTTTATTTTAACGCAACAGGAAGTGGGGGAAGAAAGAGAGAGATCAATTTGTTGTTCCCCTTAATTATGCATTCACTGGCTGATTATTGTATGTGCCCTGACTGAGGACTGAACCTGAAACTTTGGCATGTCAGGACGATGCTCTAACCAACTGAGCTACCTGGCCAGGGCTAGAGAAAGAAATATTTTGATAATGTATAGATAAGCAAAATTAGCAAATATTAACAATTGTTCAATCCAGGGTACTTGAGAGTTTATTATATTACTTTTTTTTTTAATTGATTGATTTTAGACAGAGAGAGAAAGAGAGAAATATTGATTTGTTGTTCCACTTCTTTATGCATTCTTTGGTTGATTCTTGTATGTGCCATGACCAGGGATCAAACCCACAACCTTTGTGTATCTGGATGATGCTCTAACCAACTGAGCTAAACAGCCAGGGCTCATTGTACTCTTCACTGAACTTCACTGTACTTTAAAACTATT